ACCTAATAAAGTGGCCGGTGAGTGTACATCATTTCTGTTGTTGCATTAAGTAAACAGGGTTCACTGCTTCACTGTTGTTGGTGATATCATGGCTTCTTCGTTTATCTTAGTGAGATGTAGGAGTTAGCTTAGCTATAGATCATTATTAAATGTTAACAATTTTTCCTTTTTATAAAGTATAGAAACTTCTTAACTACAGATCACCATCTGAAAACCATGAACTAAAATCTAAGTTTATCAGTCTGAATAATTATTCATAATTCGACAAAGAAATGTCCGCAGCAGTTTTCCTCAGATTAAAATGTAGTAAAAACTACCTTAAAATTAGTTTAAATATCGTAACATTTGAGGTGTAGTTACAGATTTCTGACCTGAATGAAGCAGATAAAGTGGAGTAATGAGGACACGCTGCTCTCCGTCCAGTTTTAAGGGGAATCAAATCGGTGGAACAACCGTGCCGTCTGTTTATCGGTCCCCGGAACAACAAAAACAAGCGCGAAAGTTCCGACCACCAGAGGAGTAGAATCAAACGTGTCCAGCGTGTGAGATAATCCTCAGATTCTCTACTCTGCACGATCAGAAATGATTTCTAGTGCAGGAATAGAATTAAATGGAGATTGAGTGAAAAAATGTCTAAATAATAATGGGGTGTAAAAATGTGTTTGCCACRCGCAAAGGAATAGTGTGTGTGGAATCCAGCCTCAGCTGAAGGAGCTGCGGGGAGACCCGGACAGACAGAACTGGGAGGTTTCCCGTGGTCTGCCTGCTGACTGGTTGGCCTGCTCAGCTGGTTAAAAGTTTCGGTCGCTCAACAACTTTTAAATATTAACAGTTTGGTGGGGTCAACGCTCCTCGTCAGAGCTGCTGCATGTCCCGGAGTCCGATTAACACTCCCCCCACTCCACACAGTGCAGAGACAACGTGGTGATGATATGTCAGTGCTCCTGGAGCTGCAGCAGCTAACGTCAGCCTCATTAACAGAACATCCAACTTTTGATTAAACTTTATTCTTTAGAACCAGAAATAAGTCCACAGGACAGCTATTTTTCTTACGAAATATTAGCTTGCTGCTATAGTCCCATATCATAAATGTTAGTGATCACTTTTAGTGATAGCATTTAATGTATTATTGAGTTGTTTTTAATTAGTTAAACTGTAGTTTAATCCTAAGATTGAGTCCAAGTTCACTCTGATATTTATTGATTATAATTTACATTCATAAATCACCAAATATTTCTGTTATTTAGTCTACCTGCTTCAGTTCTAGTATATCCTAATACAATTAATTTCCCTCTGCGATCAATAAAGTATTTTTGAATTGAACTGAATATAGTAAAGCTTGTAAATATTATAGTAGTACATTTTTATTATCTTAGCAAGAATAAATTCATCACATTAAAAAAGTTCATGTTTCTTAGAGTCTGTATTTTCTGCATAAAAACAGAGCTTCATGGTCAGAAAACCTTTCCTTTTTAACAGTGAAATGATGCAAAGAACAAATACTGATCTGGTGTTTATTCACGTTATTTCATGATATTTTCTTGAGTTTTTAAAGCCGACTGACTTCAGGTGGCAGTAAAATACCTAATACTTAATCTATCTCTAGGAGCTGGATACAGATGGAGCAGCAGGTATTACAGAATGTCTCAGGTAAGAGATGAGGTGATGGGCAGGTGTGAAGGAAATGTAAAATGTTGTTTTGAGTACATTCTAGTCAGCTGTGTGAACGTAATGAAATAAATTACTGATCTAAAGACATAATATACAGCATGATTAACAGTTTTATTTTATTCTGACCAGTATAAAAGTGATAGGCTTATTACTTTCACTTTTAGGAAGTTTTAGAAATTAGTTTTCTTAGTTCAGATTTTCCTGTTTAAATAAAGGTAGGGTTGGGCAATATGGGCAAAAAAATTAATCACGATTAATTGTGGTATTTAGCCAATAACAACTAATTTGACGATTAATCCCTGGACACCCTCAAGTCCTATATGACCAATTTAGAGGGAAAGAGTTGTTCTCTGTAAAAATCTGTTCCAAACTGGGTCAAAATTACAGACGTCGGGGCTGTACATCAAATTTTAAATTGTGTTGGGAGGCCAAGTAAGACCAGAGCTATTATAAATAAATTACAGAAATTTAAAAAAAATGTTTGTCATATTTAAAGCGAAGAGGAGCATCAAGCGGATTGACCGGGGAAATCTCCAGTTAGTCTGCCTGGTGGTGTTAATCATTAATTGTCGAGTGCCAAAAAAATAAAAAAATTTGATTAATGTTTTCCTGACGATTGATTGCACACGATACGATTATGCCCAACCTCATAACATAGATGTGTATTTTTGTACATTTGAGTTTGAATATTTTTAGTATCTGGTAAGGACCAGATCATTTTAATATTCTGATAAGTAAAACCCTATTCTATTTAAAAG